CCGAGTTCGATCCCCACCATGTCCCTGGTAGTACCGCTCTCAACTTGTTTCTCCGTGCAGTGGCCTTGTTCATAAAGGTTTGTTTTTCGGAGTTATAGAGTTGAGAGAGGGTTGTAACCACAAATAAGTAGCCTCCTCGTCTGTAGTGGCCTTCTCGGCCATGAAGAGGTAAATTAAATAAAAAAATAAAAAATATATATATATATAAAGTAGTAGAAAATCACTTAGCAAAAATTTTTTTTCATTCAACACTGTGTTTCATCAATAAAGACTCATCAGAAATTTCATCTTTATTGATGAAACACAGTGTTAAATGAAAAAAATTTTTTGCTAAGTGATTTTCTATTACTTTATTATTGCTCTGTTGTTTAAAATTGTTTAAATATATATATATATATATATATATATATATATATATATATATATATATATATATATATATATATATATATATATATATATATATATATATATATATATATATATATATATATATATATAAACAAACCAGGGTTATGAAATTTTTGCAACCTCATTTAGCCATGGTTCTGTAAGGTCAGTTTTGGTATAAAAACACTGAAACTTACATTTATTTTTGATTTCATTTTAAAAACTTCACCTAGGACCTATAAAAACTGTTTTATTGCATGATTTTAATTGCTCTTTCAGCACAAATATTACTTCTTTGTGTTTGAATTGCTGTAGTCTCTATTCCAATGTTTTCTAAAAAATGTTTGTACTTTCTTGTGTTGTCCAATTTTTCACAATTGCCTTCTTTATAAAAATAGTTATTGGACCAAACATCAAATCAAGTTCCACAAATCATTACACAATTTTTTTTTAATACAATAACTTGCATTTCTTCCTTGTTAACTTTCTTAATATCAAGGTGCAGAGCCCAATTTTTATTTTCAAGAGTTTTTTAAAACTCTGCTGCAGTTTCTGTGATTCTCTAACAAATTCCTGATACATATCACAGATTAATTTGGTGTAAGATTACCTATATCTTTGATATCAGATCATTGTTCACAAATGCTTTTTTGATTTTTTTTTTTTTTTTGTTGATTTAGAACTAAAATTGGTCTGTTTCACTAGATGAACTGCAGTTTCTATAGTGAAATATTGCTCACATATTTTATTTTTTAGTGTGGGGGGATTCAACAGTATATCAGGGGGACAACAGCCATTAGTATCATCATCAGACGTTTCTGGATATTTTGATATATTGGAAACAATTTCAGATTTCTACATTTCTAATTAAATAGGGAAGATTACATGCACTACTGCTTGAGGTATTTCCTTTGTCATTTTTGATGGCTGCACTAATATTGTTTTTACAACTTCTCCTTGTTATTCTGCATTTCATAACATTTTTTATCTTCAGTTGCAAACTTTTCAGATGCCATCTGTTTTTGTAACAATCATTTATAAATTCAACTTGAGTACATTCCTTATGGTATTTCAAAACCTTTCTCAGTATTGATACTAGATAAGCCATCAAATTTGATCATTGATTGTTGGTAACAATTTCCTTTGTGTAAACTCTTTTGGTATATTGTCAAGTTTTTTCTCCAGGTACCAAAAAAATTTTCAACTTTTTTTTTTCTCTTCATATATAACATTTTCTTCATATATAACATTTTCTTCATATATAACATCTTTTTCCAGAAAAAAAACCTCGAAAGTAAACACACTGAAAACAATCCCAGATATGCAATAATCAAAACCGAAAACACATAATACACCAAAAGGCAAATATTCACAATAGTTTTAAAAGAACTAAAATATGGTTGTTTCAATAGTGACACACTTCCAACGAGTTAATGACTTAGGAAGAAAAGTTGAATAATTAGAAATCATAGTTTTTTTTAGAATCATAGTTTTTTTCAGAATTTGTTAAACATAATATTTTAAAAATATATATATATATATATATATATATATATATATATATATATATATATATATATATATATATATATATATATATATATATATATATATATGTGTGTGTGTGTGTGTGTATATATATATAAATAAATAATTGCATAGAAAATAGTTGACAGATTATTTTATTTTACAGCTATATCATTCAGCATTTAGGATGATGAAGATGCCTGCATATTCATCATATATTATACAAAATGTATATATATTTTTTATGTTATATATATATATATATATATATATATATATATATATATATATATATATATATATATATATATATATATATATATACACATATATATATAAACACAATTTTATATTTTTATTTTATGAGTTCTATATTTTTAATTCTAATTATATTACAAGTTTTATATTTTCATTATATTACAAAATTTAGTTATAGAGATTAACTAAAAAAGCAAGTATATATATATATATATATATATATATATATATATATATATATATATATATATATATATATATATATATATATATATATATATATATATATATATATATTTATATATATATATATATATATATATAT